GTTTGTGGTGCATGGCAGCAGGCCCTCGGGGCTGCAGCAGGCAGAGCCCCCAACAGCATGTGCTCTGAGTCCTGGGGATTGCACATGCTGGCATGGAGCTGGCCTGGCCTGCTGGCGCGCATCTTTGGACTAGACCTAGCTGGCTCCAGGCCAGCACATGGGGTTCGCAGCACTGCAGGCAGCAGCCACATACCATTGGGTCAGGTGGGCTGCTGCTTGCCTCCATGGGCGGCTTCCCCACTGGAGTGCTGGAAGTCCCACATGGAGGAATGGAGCCAGCCCAGCCTGGCCCAATGGTGCATGGACTGGGAGCTGCATGCCATCGGGCTGGGAGGGCTCTGTGCCTCCATGAGGGGCTTCCAGCCCTCCAGTGGGAAGCCACACATGGAGGCAAGCAGGAGCCCACCTGACCCAACAGTACATGACTCCACGCCTCCATGTTCAGCTTCCTGCCTGGCCCAATGGCGCACAGGTCCTAGTCCATGTGCCATCGGGTGGGGCAGGCCCTCCAGTAGACCCCTCTCCACACCCTCAGCCCCCACCCACACCCCTCCCCGCCTTGCTAGCTCTCTCCACAGCTCCAACCACCCCTCCCCCCCCGCCGCCCCAAAGCCCTGGCAGTCACCCGTACCCATTCTACAGGGGCCCCCCAGCCGTGACCCACAGCCCACCCAGGCCCACCAGAGGGGGCCCCCAGCAAGCCCCACTTTACCTCAAAGTACCACATTAAATAGTGTTATATTTAATTTGTAAAAAAAGTAATTTATGGTGCATCATTTTAAACTTTTCTGCACATAATTCCCTGGGGTGTACAGACTGGTCTCAGCAAGAGCTCTGATTTTCCATGATGAAAAGCCCAAGAATCAAATGCCAAAACATAAAGGTATTTAGAATTTATTTTATTATAGCGATTGAGGCACTGGTAGGCTTACAAATTGCTTTTAAACCATAAATATATCAATAAAAGATTGTGTTCAACTGATACCTCTGTCTCATTTTAATAATGGATTTGGGGTTTTTAAATCAGACAATTTGCAAGGGGAGGGGGGGGATAGTTAAATCAGAGAAAACCAGGATCCTTGGTGATGTTAAACCAGGGAAACCCCAGTAGGGCCTTACCTCATTTTTTTTTCTGGTCAGATGTTACTAGACAGAAAAAAAGAGATAGTCTATCTTAAATTTTAGTACTTACTGGGCCTGTGGTTGTTTTTTTTTCCTATTCTAAATCATAAAAATTAGTCTGCTATTATATTGGAAAACTTCACTTTTTGCAACAGAAGAAGGTTGCTATTTTAAGTTCTCTCTCTCCAGCTGATTTAAGGCTACAACATGTACTTTTGAAGAGCCAGAGTAGCTACAGAATTTTGTTAAGAGTATGCGCTGTTCCAGCAATTTCCAGCACAGAAAATGTCTGCCACTTAATTTTTCTCCTGTACAAACAAACAGCAGCTTCCAAATGGGCTGTATTAATATCCTTTGACGGGTTGCATGGACAGGCAAGATTGTAAAATAGGAAGAGGATTACCAAGAAGAGATCTGAAGCAAGATGGAGGTGGAGGGACCAACTTGGATGCTCCAGAAGACAGAACCTGCAGAGAAGACAGAGGTGCAGATTACAAAAACCGAGGAGTCCAGGTCATGAGAACAGAGGTAGGTGGAGGGAGGTTGGCAGGTCCACCTGGAACTCAGAACAGACAAGAAGCCAGTGGGGTAAAAGTAGGCAGCACAGTATTTGGCAGGGATACAGGACCACTGCTCCAAGATTTTATCCTTAATAGGAGAGGTAATAGCAGCTATTGAAGATCTCACTCAACATCAAGTGCAACAAAGCCAAGATTACTGAAACCGTCAGGGTTGGCCAAACCTGGCTAAGAACAAACCTGATAACATCCCCTCCAGAAACACAATTTTGTTTTAACATGTTTGCAGAAGGAAAGGGTAACTCAGTGTTTGGACGGAGTCCATTAGACGCGCAGTGAAGTCATGAGGGAGGTAACGTAATCCCCGTCAGCTACTCGGAAACAGAACAACACTTCTACTGTACCTTTCCATTCTCCAGGCATCCCTGGAAGCCAGTAAAGGATCCCACCCCTCAACGTGACATGTGCCCCAAACCACAAATATTTGTCAGTTGACAATGCTCTTGCTCATTATCTCCCGATTTCCATTGGTCCTAATTTTAGATGTGGTATCATCTTACCCGGCTCAAAAAGAAAATGTGCTCTTTATCTGTGAGCACAACTGCCCAAGGCCAGAACACACTGATGAAATGAGGTTTTTGTAGCATTGTGTCATGTGCCTGCTGTGCCAGGACATTATAGAACGGGTTAGCTATTGTTAAGTAATTAAGCATATGTAAGTCCTGGTCTAGGGTGGAGATCAAATCCTCTTCTCTCCACTCCAGCACCCTGTGTGGAGGATCCATTTATGCTTGTACTGAGGATGCTGCCTGGGTTTTGATTCCACAGTAAAGTAGCAAAATCCAGACAAGTGTGAGAAATATTCTGTACATTAGGAAGTCCCAGGAACTTGGCTAGGCCAGTGGGTTGTTCCAACTGGCTTATATTTATATATACATTAACAGCTCAGGTGTCTTGTTTTAGCTAGTTGACCTATCGTCTTCAGGAAGCCTACCCATGTAAGCTAAAAAGAGCAGTATGGTTAGCAGCGATCCCGAGTTGGCTGGGTTTTCTTTCAGGGATCACTGAGTGCTCTGAAGCATTCCTTCTGTGCCTAATTTCTGAGAACCAAGCACTGATGCCCCAAAGCTTTATTCACCACATCTGTTCAGGCTAAGAGTCTTTCCAGAATGAGCTGGGACTTGTCAGTACTGCTTTTGAGTCATCTGGACCTTGTGCAAAAGCTCAGGACAGTGCACCAGCCCCTGTGGGGTTCAGGCAATGCCACCTGTCCTGCAAGTCTAGAGTTTTAGTTCAATCCTTTCACCACAAAATGCCCCAGTTCTTACAGAAGCACCACAGCCATTACAGCCCACTATGCGCTCCTCGCTCTGCTCTTCCATTAGCATGCTCTTCTCTCCCATCGGCGATACCTGTAGGACCTGCTTTCTTAAGAAGGCCTAAGATGCCAGCTGCCCCTTCCTTCCCCTCTTCTCAACAATCTCTCTTCTTTGGCAAGTCCTCTTTTTTTTTTTTTTTTTTTTT